CTCCACCGATTACACCGTTTGTTAGGCAAGGCATTTACTTTATTGACCAAGTGACAGTCAACGACTTCAAACCAACCCTCTACAAAAGGTACTTTTTGGAAGCGAACATCCCAGGACGGCTGCTATGAAGGTATGCGCATTCAAGCATCCGAAGTCTATGATACACACAATGGACATCCATTATCCCAGGCCGCCGACATCTGTATTCTGCCACGGCAGCTTCTCTACGTGCTGCCAATGTGCACACAGGCGTCTGCCCACACGACTCCCCACCACCGTCTCACGATCACACTTCCATTCACTAAGCATCGCACGCAAAGTACAATCGACCTGAGCCAAGGGTTGCCTCCTCACCACTTCCGAGTCACAGGCGAAAGGGACCTTCCTTCCACGTTATGGAGCCGTGATTCGTGCAAGCAAACCACGTCTGATCTACTTTAAGCAATACGGGAATCTGCTGGGCTCAAAAATAAGCATTGTCCATCGCAACGCCTAGAAGAGCACCTAACAATTCATAATCCAAGTCGATTGAAGAGAGCCACAAGTTGGTGAGTATTTTCGTCCGGTAAAAGCCGTTTTTTAGTCAGTCTACCTAAAAGCTGTGCTTAGCACTCAGAACTCGTTGCGGTGATCACAATACAGGAAGCTGAAGTGATTGTGAAGTGTAACCCGCACCATGCTTCGTTTCCCACATGCTACTAATCCTTAAATATCACCGCGTTTGATAAATTTAATGCCTAATAGGCAACAGATGCAGGCATTTCCTCAATTTCACATCGCATTAATTGACAAAATCAAAAAGTGAGCGTACATCCTTCCGAGAAATCCACTCAGGAACCTTGGTGAGGTCGAAACCAGGCATTGCCTCCTGCCACGATTCGTCGACAGAGAAGCTTAATCCAGCAGGGAGCTCAGGTGTGGCAACGCCGTAGTCGGGTTTTAACTGCAACTGGGGCATACTGGCCGGCACTTTCTGATGGTAGCTAAAAAAAAACAAGAAGAAAGATCACCACCTACTTATAAAACGTAGGTAGGTGGGTAGACTAAAGTAGTCAGATTTGTTTGGGACGACGCTGTAATTTTTACCCACACATGGAATTCTGGGCCGCTGTTTTCGAGTCAACCGACTCTAGGCAGTGTAGACATCAAGCAAAATAGTCAACTTCCACTGCGAAATTGCTGGAATGAGACAGACACATGGCTTGGTGGGGAGGCATAAGGCATAAAAAGTCGTTTCAATGTGGACTGGCGAACGGTGGCTAAGTGGAAATCGCATGGAATGAAAAAAGAATATGCAAGCACGCACATCATGGCGTTTTCCGTCTGGGCCTTGGTCAAGGTGCGCTGAGCGTAGGGCTGCAATCTTCGAATGAAAACGTATTCAGCACCGGAGCCAGACCGATAGACCTTGGCAGCATTCTGTGCCTGCGCACAGTCTGAAGATAACAAATGGACGTGGAATGTTTGATGTAGGGGAACGCACTGAAGCTGTGGTTTTGTTTTAACGAAAAAGAGATTCAAAGTGCCACACTTGAACGCTGCGTTTAGACATAATAGAGGCATTTCAATTGGCACGGGGTTAAACAAGAAATTCTACCGTATTAGGAGCAAGGGAAATCAAGCACACACACACACACAGCCGTGCCAAAGCGATAAACAAAGAAACCACATGAACCACATATCCGCCTACATTTGAGAGCTTCCTGGGCAGAGACGATAGCCACACCACAATGGTCCGCCTTCAACTGGCTTTCTGAGTAAAAACAATGGGCCTACAAGTGAAAAATGATTTCGCAATTAACTTTAGTTTATTCACCACGTTCGAATTCACACGGCTGTGAAGTCATAATACGATCGCTAACATAAATTGTTGGCAACTGAAGAGATAGTAACGATCACTTATACCGCAAGTGCGCATAAGAAACAAACTTTTCTGTTAAGTGGCATACCGTGAATGCTTACTGCGCGGAAACGAAAAAGGCATCGGCATATTGCTCAACTTCACTCAGTAAGTTATTGTAGAAGCAATTAAAAATGAGATATAACGCTCGTTACAGCGACTGTTTACAGAAAATTTACGGCCTAAAATACTTTCAAAAGTTTACATTAGTACTTAGGTGTGAATAAGTGGTTACGTTGAGTCAACACTAAATCAAGGAATCATTTAACCAGAAATTAGCTTTATTATGCATACGATTTGATTTGCATCTTGAGAAAACACAGACCCCACTTGACTATGTCGTTTTTATTTCGATTACCTGGTTGACATCTTAATAGGTACAGAGCGTCGACTTGAGACTACCCAAACCTTCCTTAGTAGTCCCTCCAATCACACCGACTATTTAGTCAGGAGTTTATACATGCTCCGAGAAATCATCGTTCATGCATAAGTAAAAAGCCACCACAAAAAACGGCGACTTCGAAAAAAATATGAACAAAACATAAGAAGTCAAGTGAACAAGCTTCCATATAGACCATGGCCAGATCCACAATGAAATTTGTTTAGTACAACCTTTTTCCCGGCACCAATTTTATATTAAAACTACCGCTTTCACGGTATTGCACTGTTATAATACAACTAGAGGCGGTAATCGTTGGAGACTATTTGTACAATTTGTTGGTCTTGCTGGAAGTGTGACGCCCCGATGTTGACGAATTTCGATGAGAGCCGGTGTGTTTGCACGGAGGTGATTTCACACCAACTGACGAGCCACGACCCAGCGGCCCACGCACTGCCTACTCAACGTCTCCAGTTGCACACCGCTACAACTGGAGACAAGGCACGATCGAGATCGCAAAAGAGGGCGCTGCACGCGACAACTTTGAACCAGCTTGGCTACCCCACCCGGTATGGCGATGGGGTGACTAAGACCCTCCGCATTTCCGCCTACTGGATTACGAGGCTCGGCTGAAACTCCACACTTTCAACGCGCTCGAGGGCCGACAGTGATGGGGGAATACTGCACAAGGGTGGGTTGTAATAACATTCGCGGGGCGAGGCCGGAGGAACCATGGCAACAGAAAGTGACATTTGCCCTTGGTCGATGGGGCCGATGCCGTCTGTGTGGTGGGTTCAACAAGGGGCTGCATGACATGCATTTCAGTCGACAAATCAAACAATCACTTGGTCACCTACTGCTCTCAGTGTAGGGACGGTGATCAGTAGAAATTAGTTTAACTTTTGTGCTGGAACCGTCAGTTAAAAATGGATTGTTTTGGTCCAATCACCATATTTCCTGAACATACACCTGCAAAACGATTGGGTATTTAGTTTTTCTTGCGCCACTAGTACAGCAAATGTCATTTTAAGGTGTTTCGAAGGAATATTAATGAGAGAGACTGTTGTCTGTTAAGGCCTATTTGCGAGACATGAAAGCATCTATCGACCTGGCATTATAAGTACAGCCACAAATTTCTGGTTCAACGTTTGATCCTTCTACGGATGGTAGACTCTAGTCCGCAAGCAATAATAAGACTCCCCAAGCAGGTAAAAGCAGGTGCTACGTCATCCAAGACTGTTCAATGCCAATCCGTGTCACAGGGTTACAAGGGTTAGTTCTTTGACAGAAAAGGCAAAACAAATGAAGTAGCTGAATCGGCCAACCAAAACACAATATAAATAGTTTGGCATTTTATCTGAATGTTCTGAAATAAACCATTTTGTGTAACTGCCAACTTCTTCATGACAGTTTAATTTGACCTTTTGAACCTCATTGAATGGCGACGAATTGCTTCTCGAGCATAAACCCAGTCTTTGCTGATTGAAACGTGTCATGTGACCAACCGCAATTGGCTGATTAATGGACGCCATTGTGTTAGAGTTCGACTGAGACTTGTGGGTCGAAATCAGGGTTTTAGGAATGCACCCAACACCAAGATATGCTAAACACACAAACATCTACTTCGGACCACCTGAGATGAAGACGTGTGCAGGAATTCCTGAGCTCTAAGGCGTGCTAATCGGGGTCTAGAAATTCACAACGAGGGAAAGGAGTAAGCTCAAAAGGAGTCCCTTGAAGAAATAGAGTGTTCTGCACAATAGGGAAATTATGAGTTTTGGGTCGTGTATACGTGTAGATGGGCATAAAATTCCTTTTTTGTTTCACTGGGCGCCACAATACAGACGTGTATTTCGTAAACATGCGTTGTATCACGTGACATTTTACACCCACAAGGTAACGGTAAAAGCTTGTGATTCTTCTAACAACAAGAGAACTCACATAAGCGCGGAAGCAGGCAGCTTTAAAAATACAATAGGCTCTCCATTTGGTGACCAGCGCATCGGGTACATTTTGAAGTCCAAACTCTGTAAACAAGAAGATCAATTCTAAGATCACCAAGAAACACCGAAGTGAATATTTTATGATGGACGCTATTAGTGTCGAATTAATTGTCCCCGAGATCTCGTCATGCCAACTTGCATTTAACTGAAGAATCATCCTAAACATAGAAATCTATTTAAGGATACATCGGCGTGGTAATTTTAAAGCTTTTATTTGCCTACCATACCACTTTGAAGGTTCATTTTTCCAACTGAAATCACTGAATTTATAAAGGATGTGCAACATATCTTCCGACGTGATTGCACAATATTACCTAGATGATTCGACGATTATAAAATTAATACAGAAACCACTGATTTTAATGTGAATAAGTACAGGCAAAGCAATACTATCTGATTTTTAAAAAAATACTTTCATTCGACAGTTTACGTTAGATGAATCTAACCCAGTTCGTCAAATTCTGAATTTGTTTAAGGTGCCAAAACACGAAAGAGTAAAGTCAATGCAGATTAAAAACATTGCGTTGATTTTGCATTCTGACTTTGTAACAGGCATTTAAGACTTTTCTACTAATACTATTCGTCTGTGTTGCAAACAGCATACAAAGTTTGCACAGAACATTAGATTTAAGCCTCCGAAGCACAACGGTTTCACTGACAGTTTGCGAAGTCGCTATTTGCCGAATTATAATCAGCATTACTTCTAAGAGATAGATATTATCATGCGCTTGGGTACCACAGAATAACGGTGGTAAGCCAATCCTGCACAGATATAAGCAATTTCGTGTCTAATAAAAAAAGCCTAAACAATGAGGCTGTAAGAAGGAGAAATAACGGTGATGACACTAACCCAGATAACTCACATCCGGGAGACACCATGAAGCATACGTTAGTTATTGAAGAACAGTGCTTTGGCTTAAAAATGGAGCTAGTCACAACCTATTATCAGCAAAGGTGAGTTAAATTGTGTTGATATTTACCAGTTTAACTGGCCACCATTTTTGCAAAGTCTAGCTTTTATTGGACCACTACTTCCATCGCAACACAGTACATTTGATTCTACACTTCTATTTTCGCTTATTACAAACTCAGATACGTCAAAATCAGCTACGGCATATGAAGTAGGGCAGGTATCTATTAAAATGTGGGGAGGTCAATCGCAAACTGGGTAAATAACTGTTCATTAGTTCTAGTCTTAACTTCAGCATAGTATGTGTGCGATGTATTTATGCAAATCAGTTCCTAAACACACTCTGCATAAAACTTATTACTGACCGCTGAAATAAACGTGAGTCCTCAGCCTAATTTAATGATAGCAATTGATGTTGAATTGAATAGAAAAAAAAGGGGCATAACGTCCAAAAACGTGACTGAACAAAACTTACTGCACTTTTCATACATTATTGCAGTTTCTGAGGCCAATGCAGCAATAATACCAGGATCATGTTTTAACTCCATAGCTCGGGCGATAGTAACTACAATTGGTAAGAGTAACTGAGAAACGATGTAGGGATTTCTAATAGGTTAAAGGTAAGGATCAAGCAATAAGGAATCCAATACCTTCTTGTGCTTCTGCAAGACTTTGTAAAATATAGGCTTCAAGTACATTGGGATCCAAGTCAGAGCCCTTAGCTATTTCACCTTTTATCTGTTTCAGTAAGTTCGACTTGATGTAATGGAAAACCCCAGCAGCATTTCGAAGGGATTTGTAGACCTCAACCGCCTGTTCCATTTCAATGCTAGACATTAAAAAAACTATAAGACGATGGGGTTTTTAGCAGGTAGACTCTACGCAAGGGATAATACGCTTACTCGTTATTAGAAGCTATTTTCGCAGCGTGTTTAGAAAGCCACAATCCTAGGTTGTAAAGTATACCAACAAGCTCGAAGTTTGCATCACGCATTGTTCTGATCGTAAAGTCACAGATTATAACATTAAATGGCCTACTTCGGAGTTTTGTGCTTAACATCTAACGAATCGGTCCATGTGAAGGGAATAAGTCGTCTCAATGTCGATAAATGTTTCGTCATAGAACGAGGGGCTTCCTTCACTTTCTTTTTATCCTTTTTAGTTAATTCGGTAGAGTCAGAACCTTCCGCTTGCGGAACTTCAGAATCGCTATCCTCCTCAGTCTCTTCATCGTGCTCGGCGAAATTGCCAGAATCAGGTGAAGTAGCCAGACCCATCAAAAGGGAAATGTACTGATTCGCAGCATCGATTACTGAGTCACTCGATGCCGTAAAATCCCCAAACATTGTTATTAATCTTTGGCGCTTGTCAGACAATTGACTAAAAAATTAAAAATTGGGGTTAGAAAGAGCCAGAGATAGTTTTGCTAAGTAAAATAAACTAACCTGCATAACATACGTGCTGATATGCTAGTAGTGACAGGACCTAAGTCAAAGTTCGGTCGTCCCGAAGCCTTCATTGGATTTCTGTGAAACCACTGAGCCATGTTTAATGAAAGGATTGACCGATAACCAAATGAGGAAAGGAAGCAAGAAAATTTTACAACAGGAGCGGGGGAGAAATGAATAATCTAAACAACTTAAAATGAATATGACGAAAAAATTAACAGCTTAGTGTTATTATTGCTCTCCAAAATTTTCAAAAGGTTTTCTTACATAACCTTATAAGTATTATGCAGCTAGTCTTAATCTAAAAAAAGCTATGAAAACAAAAGCAAATACAATCTGTATTTAGTGGAAGGCTCGCCAGTTTTGTCCTTGCTTAGGGGTTTAAAATATAATTACGGATTTCTGGTAGCAGACTACATGATTATATGGGTCCGACTTACATTGATTAAATTGTGGGCAAGCTTAACTCACTCGCGAACAGTAACGACGCACCATTTGCGTAATGTTAATTTGTACTTGTGTCAAGAATGAGTTAATGAAACTTCTGTGCAATCTGAGGAAAACAGAATATATGGCAACCTAAAATATACAAATAGCCTACAAAGGTTCGCAAATGTTCCGAGAGTTAATGTCGGTTAGGAAAGTGGGTGACTATAAAGCTAATCTTAAGACCCAAGCCGTCGCTTCAGGAAATGAGATCAGGCATACTGAAAGCTAAATCGTCAAAAGCCAGGAGGCTAGATATTTTAAGGCCTGACTAGCCTGGTTACCATAATAAAAAAAAAGGGAAAAATATAATTACCTAACTGTGGAATTATTTACATACAGTTTTCATACAAAAATTGAGAGGACAATTTTGAAAAATCTTGACTACTATTGCCTTCATTGCTAGCATTATGCGTTATTATTCCCAAAAATATCGTCGAAGCAAAATTATGCTTTGTCACAATTTGACACACAAAATAATATGTAAGCTGACTCAACCGCAAGAGAAAACGACCAGGTATGCCGAGATAAAGTCCTCATTAGCGGTTTAAGAAGACTTTGAACCATAGACTCGAAAGTATCTGTGTAACAACAGTGTTAATTTTCATAATTACTTTAATCAGATACGAACATAATAAGGGTCGAGAGTATTGAAGAAGGCATGTTTAATTTACGTTTTGAATAAATTGAAGATAAAGGATAGAGTAGAACAATATAATTAAAAGATTGATAGAATATATCTAGCGAAATAATTTTGGATTTGTCTACTGGACTGATTTAAAAGAGAGAAAATGACGTTTCATAATTAATGACTTATGTCTTGATATTATATTAACAGGCACTTTTTAACAGTACGACAACTGATTTAAACGTTTTTTTTTGCATTACAAAAATTATTACTATGCCTTTTACGATTTTTTTTCTATTGTAAACAATAAGTAATAAGATTCAATACACACTCTCTTTACTTACCCCCAAAACAAATTTTAGCAAAATTTGCTGTTTTTAGGCATATCAAATAATAAAACCATGTGCACTAATTCAAATATGCTGTAATGTTTTATACAAAACAAAATTAGCTGCAGAATTAAGAAAGCAGAGTTGGTTTCACCTAGATTTGTTTGATTGCCTCATTTGTGTTGCTGGAACCAACCACAGTCGAGGAATTCATTGCTCAATTTTATGAACTCGCTTGTGTTTTTCCAAAACAGTACCTGGGTTTTTATGTCATTGGCTTTTATTGTGGTTTTGAAGTTAAATAACCTAGAAAGTTTTTTTTATCGGGTTTTGGATGTTTGTGTTTGAGTTAAGCATTTTGTTGTTCTCACAAACGAAAATTAACCTGTTTAAAAACCTATAAATGATCATTAATAACCCTAAATCTAACATAATGGTGCTGGTTCCATGTAAATTTTAGCTTTTGTTAATTTTTGTTGTGGTTCTCAGTTTTCTGAAGAGCTTTTATTCTGACCATTTAAATCAACTAGGTCCAAATAAAACAACTCTTCAAATCTGCTTATTATGTGTATCCATATCTATTCACCTAAGAGGTTTTCTATTGCACATTCCTTATCGACACATTGTGCTCTATTTTTTTGCATTCAATAGATTTGAATGAATTTAGTGCATCTTAAATGTTTTGGTCTTTATGTGTCACTCGCAACGGTGGCATAATGGCAGAATATTTGGTCAAAACCGTGGAATCCATTATGAATTTTGTAAATATTCAGCTTGTAATCACTTTGTATATTGTCATTCTATTTTCTGGGGCGTTTGCTCTACATTTAGTGTTCTTGTTGATTTCTGGTGATCTAAGTTTTGCTAATCTTCCTCAAATGCGGTAATTTTATGTGTTGCTGTTTCGCGCTTAATGTTTTGTTGGCTTAATAGCGCTTTTAAATTTTCAAAGGTAGATTTCTTTGTTCTTTGACAAAAAATGTAATGCTTTTGTTAATTGTCGCAGGTTTCACGAAATGCCACCAACCACCCCCGAATTTACGGATGTATTTCAATGCTCTCCTTCAATGCAACATGACTTTCTAATGCCTAATGGTATTATTTTGACGTTACAGGTAAATTGTGGTATGCTTTTGGTAATAGCTATTGCAAATTTCAGTTATATCACCTCAGTCCTTTACCCTCATGGTGTCATCCTTAAAGGGTGTCGAGGGTTTGTTTCAATTCCTATCTCTTGACGAAATACGACGTACCCAAATTAACATTGACTACTGTAATTTCACATGATTTAAAAAAAGGTTTGTGGTCACTAGTCGGATAATAATTTATTCCCTGCTTAAATAATGTCACCGGCAGCGTCACAAAGTTGTCTAAAGTTCATATAGGGCTGTTCCACTACCTTTGAAGCTATCACGACTTCAACTAGGTTTTCACGACCCTAATTAATTTCAATGTATAATTTATTACCTTTACAATTATTTCCAAACAAATAATGCTTTTGTAGAGAATAACATTCTCTAGGAGTCAAATTAATTGCTGCTTTCGTTTAATAGGTCGTGTATCTTATCAAAGTTTATGGTGAGTAATGTTCCCTGGCAGTAGCAAAATGTTGGTTCCATGCAGTTAGACTAATTTTCGAAACAATGCGGTTGCATTTACTGTAACGGGCCTATGAAATCGCTGGTAAATATGCAATTAACCAACAGAATTGGTTCCCAACGAAAAACCAAAAAAATATTAATATGTTTTGCTTATGTGCTTTACAATGTCCTTTTTAACTAGCCCGATCTAGAAATGAGTCTATCAAGCCTCAAAGCATATCTGTGGACTCTGGCGTCCAAAGAGCCATTCTACGAGTGCTTGGGTCCGCCAAGTGACTACGTTCTTCAGGGTATTTCTGCTCTTACGGCCGAAGGGGAATACTTTTACAATGAAAATTGCACGTTTTCTGGTCTCCAACTTATGCTTCCCTTGATGCGTCTGGAGAAAGTGGCCGATGACAGTCAGACTATTGAACAGAATAAGCAAAATGCGATGATTGCAAAGTAGGTTGTGCTTATAGTACCCCTGCACGAAACTTCTTTTAGAACCACCATGTTATTTTTCGATTTTTTTCCGAAAAACACTTTTTGATCTCTACTTCCTATGTTCACACACCTATAAGCTTGTAAATCGACGATTAGGGTCCTTTATGTATACTGTATGGAGGTGTGTAGAGCTCAGAAATAAGGTATGCTTTTCTATACCTAAAAAGCATCTTTATTCCAGTCGCGCTAATGCTTCGGCGGTCAAATTTTTGATTATTGCTTCCGAGGTTTAGCTGCGTATGATCGCGTTGCTCCGACATTATTTTAACTGGTGATTGCTCTGCCGCCTTTGACAATACATTTGTTACTTTAATATTATAAGTAGTATTCATGTTATATTCCCTAGGCTTCCGGATTAACTGTTTTTGTTATGCACATGCTTTGATCTTGACTGGGTGGCTTTTTCAATTGCGTAACGAAAATGTGTTTGAGTGATATGCTCGAAGCGCATATATATTACATAGAAACTCAATTTGTGCCTGAAAGTCTAAGCAGGTAAGTTTACCTGTAAACGAGTTCACGCTCCCTGTTCCCATCGTCGTCGTTGGGTGCCCAGTTGTCAGTATGTATTGGCAAGTTCCTGGTGTTGGGAGTTTATTCTCTTCTACTTTTTTCCAATTCGTTGTTATACAAATACAAGATACCAATGCAATTTACATAAAACGTAGGTTCTTGAGTTTGGTGTTTTTGTTGGTTGGTAAGTTTCCTAATGGAGAGCGTCAGTTTTGTACATCTCAGTTTGTACTCTGTGTACTTCTCGCGCTTTCTGGTATTGTTTCGCGTGTCATATCGTCTTAGTTCTCGGTAGCCTCGATATTCGCAAACACATATGCCTCTGTGCACCTCTAGATGACTCCTGTAATCGTTTTCCGGACCACCGTACGAATGTGTTGTAGTTTTTTGTGTTCCTGTAGAGCAATTCTTCATCCCTACTCGAAAGCATCATAATATAATCGTTAGGAGCTACTGTCTTTTTTCTCCATATTTGTGTGTTTAAACCAACACAGGATTTCCACAATCTCGCAAGCTGACCTCAACGCTGCTGCAGAAGCCCGCTCCGAGGTGGCTTGGACGCGTCAGCGTCTTCTCAGCATGGCGGACGCGAACGTCACGCGTTTAAATGCAGGCGGTCCTGTTGCTGTAGCCCACTACCTCACTGCTGCTGCACAGCAGCCTAAGCTGACCACCTCTCTCCAGCGTTGCCTGCGTCACATTCCTCATCTCACAATTTCTGCCATCTGCGTCGATTGCTCCGACCCCCCTCAACAACACCTCCTCGCCCTCAATCTACCCAAAGAAGTGACTGTAGCGTCCGCAATTAAGGAGATCGTGGACGCACAAACTCGCCTTGTGAAGGGGGAGGTCGGTTGTCATGACCTGGACCCTGCGTCGAAGTATCTTCTCAAAGTGTGCTGCTCCCAGGTCGGTGTGATTTGACAAATGCTTGTTTGAACTTGACATGCAGACATCTCAGTGAGATGCTTCGTGAGCAAATGCTTCTAACTTATTGAAATTTGCTCTCGGGACACAGGCTGTGTATTCTGCCAGCATTGAATCTTGTTTCAGTGCCATTTTGTAACTCGCTGTTCTGCTGGATTTTTTTAAGAACCGAATTTTCTTCAGCTTCATGTCCGTCTCGTAGAGTCACAATTGCCATTTAACACCATTACTGATTCTTAATAGTAAGTGCATGTGAAATTGCCGGTTTTTTCTTGTTTACAATATAAATCATTTTACATTATCGTAATTTAATCAGCCCCAAGCTTTTAGGCGGTGTTTCGCCGGAGTGGCATAGCGTACGTGTTTGTGCCTTAAGGAGTACCTGTTTGACCCGGAGAGTGCTCTAATACACTACATGTACGTACAAGAGTGTTTGGAGAAGGGTGAAATTCCTCGTTTGACGCCAGTTCTTCTCGAGGACGTTCTTGACTGTCTCGGGCTTCCACCACTGGAGACACCCGGCACCACTGAGTATAGGCCGGCCACGACTCTCACCCATCTGCCTTCCGTCATCGAACTCCATGGCGAAGGTGATGTGGAGGCGACCACGGATGTGTGGGACCTGCGGGACTACTTCTCTCTGACTGTGCGCAGCGCCCAGAAGTCGGCGGTTGGGGTAGATGCTCCGACACGAGTGACG